GTATACATGTGTGTAGCTGTCTTTCCTTGTACGTGTGTGTGTGTGTGTGTGTGTGTGTGTGTGTGTGTGTGTGAGGATTTCCCTGTGACGTACTGTGTGTGACTATCTCGTGTATACAGTGTGTAGCTGTCTTTCCTTGTACTGTTGTGTGTGTGTGTGTGTTGTGTTGTGTGTGAGGATGTCCCTGTACGTACATGTGTGTTGTGACTATCTCTGCATACATGTGTGTAGCTGTCTCTCCTTGTACGTGTGTGTGTGTGTGTGTGTGTGTGTGTGTGTGTGTGTGTGTGTGTGTGTGTGTGTGTGTGTGTGTTGTGTGTGTGTGTGTGTGGCTATGTGCATAAATGTGTGTAGTTGTCTCTCCTTGTACGTACGTGTGAGTGTGGGGCTGTCTGTACGTACATGTGTATGGCTGTCTCTGTACGTACATGTATGTGTCTGTCTCTGTACGTACATGTGTGGCTATCTCTGAATATACATGTGTGTGGAGGTCTCTGTATGTACATGTTTGTGGCTGTCTCTGTACGTAAGTGTGTGTGTGTGTGTGTGTGTTTTGTTGTTTTTCGTACTCGTGTATGTATACTGTCCCCTCAGTTATGTACGTGTATGTGACTTTATCCGGGTACGTACGTGCTAGTGCACGTACGTACATGTTATTGTATCGTCAGGTAAGTACCGCTATATTACTGAAACTCAAAGAATCTAAGATTCTAAGTAATTTTCTTCCTTTATTAAGAGTGCTTTGATGCTGGCTGAGGGCTCTTGACCCAAGGTCCTGCATCAAGCCCAGTTACCTCTTATTCCTCAGGCGATGTATGAACCGTACGGATTTAGCTACTATTGTTACCACCATCCACTATATACTGCAATTATTACTATCATCACAATCACTACCACCATCCACTATCACTATTACTACTACTGCTACTACGATCATCACTACCAGCATCCACTATCACTGTTACTGCTAGTAGTACTATAATCACTATCGCTACCACCATTCACTACCACTAGTAGTACTATCATCACTGTCACGACCACCATCCACTACTACTACTATTACTATTACTACTTTTACTACTACTGTGTTTGCCTTTGCTTCATGGGGTAAGTGGGAAAGACTAGTCTTGTTGAATGCTGTTACCTGATACCAGGTAACTTGCTACCTGACTCCAGGTAACGTGAGACTACCACCGGCTGACCACGGTAAGATAAACAGTGTTCCTTGAAGATGCTGACTCCAGACTAGACCTGCAGCGCCTTGTTCTTGGAGTAGACTCAGTGAGCTAAGGTCTAGACTTGCCCTTCAGCACGAGTTACTAGAATAGTCTTTAGGTCTCTGGAGTAGGCCTGAAGGGAGAGTTACTAGGATAGACTCGGTGAGCCCAGACTACATCTGTAGTGTAAGTTACTAGAGTAGACTAGGCACAGTTTAATAATACTGTTAAATGTCCACAAACTACTTTGGCACTGTATCTCTAAATAACTCTAGTCTGAGAAACTAGAAAAAAACAGGCTAGAGTGACTAGACGGGAACTTTACTAAAGACAATATCTAACAGACAAACTAGAGAGAGTGGTACCAGCCTTGGTAATAGATACCCACAAATTGCTCTACAAAGTCACATAAACAAACGCTAGAACATGTTAGAAAACGTTTCGGTCCTGGGACCTTGATAACTTCTAACAGAGGTTGAAGAGAGAGTATAGGCAAGTAAGTAAGTTTATTCAGATATACACAAATACAGTTACATAGAATTATCATACATAGCAGCATATGTGTAGAGAACCTGCGATAACCCAAAAAAGTCGGAGTGACTTATTTCCATTGGGGTCGAGAGTGGGGTGTGACACATAGTAACCTCTGTATGTTAGAAGTAATCAAGGTCCCAGGGTCAAAACGTTTTATAATTAATATTCTAGAGTTCTAGTAAGAGTTGATGTGTTAACAAGGGGGGGGAGGAATTAGGGCAGTGCCACAGGTGTCACTTCTTGGACTCGTTCCGTTCCTGATGGCTGTCACTGACATGGCAGTATGAAGCACTGTTTACCTGGTACTGTTTGCTGATGACTCACTACAAGTGGGAATACACCACGGAACGGGTAGGGGGTTGAACCCATGGCAGTAAACCCACGTCAACAAACCACTTATCCCGTGGTTTGTTGACAAAGTGTTATTACGATTTCGTGAGTCGTAGTGAGTATAGTAGGGATAAGAAAGGTGTACGAAGCTATAACAAGGCTTCAGGAAAGACTTATTCAGCGGCTCCTTGAATCAAGTTTCAGCGAGTGCATTTTCTAGGAACAAACCGGTTGTGATGTGAGGAAACAGTAAGATGTGATTCATATAGACCCGCACATAGGAGAGAGAAAAGCTTATGCCGACGTTTCGGTCCAACTTGGACCATTCACAAGTCACACTTGATGGGTGAGCCAGTATATATAGGCTAGAAGGCCAAGGACGGGAGAAAGAGAGGAAGAACAAGAAGTAGTGGTAGTGGAGGCTATAGAAATTAGAAGTTCTGAAGAGGCAAAACATTTCTTTGAGTGTGAGGATAGTGAAGAAATGTAATGTACTGAAGAGTAGGTATGACACAAGAGCAGAGAGAGAGCCACGTCGGTTGAATGATGAGGAAAGGTCGGGGGCAGGATCTCTTGCTCAACCCCCACAGACATAACTAGGTAAGTATAACTAGGTGAGTAAACACACACGCATGCACACAAAGCTGATAGGATGCTTAGCATATATATAATTTTTTATGTTGTGCAGTGAATGACAGGATAATGGGTGGGAGGCAGCAGAGCAGATATCGTCTGTGTTATCTCCACACTGTGTACTAAGCTCAGCTCCACATGACACTGCTCACTGCTGCCGTGGCCTACCAGTGATCACTGTTACCGGGGCTTACTAGTGATCACTGCTGCCGTGGCCTACCAGTGATCACTGTTACCGGGCTTACTAGTGATCACTGCTGCCGTGGCCTACCAGTGATCACTGTTACCGAGGCTTGCTAGTGATCACTGCTGCCGTGGCCTACCAGTGATCACTGTTACCGGGCTTACTAGTGATCACTGCTGCCGTGGCCTACCAGTGATCACTGTTACCCGAGGCTTACCACAGTGCCACTGGCCACCTCCTCTCACACGGGTGTCAAGAGCACCACACGCCATGGACAAGTCTTCATTACGCTGTCGCTATGGCAGCGGAACTACTGAACATGTCACCAGCGGAGACACATATCAGGCGAGTATCCCTGACACAAACACCAACAACCTTCTCACTGTGTCCTCATGAACGTATCACCTAGACCAAGGTCGTGTTATCCACTATCATCCGGGTAACTTCCCTCAGAGGTCACCACAGCTCAAGACACAAGAGACGTAAGGCTGCTGTATCAAACATGCTTCGGAGTCTTTACCATGTCCTTGGGAAGGAACAGTCCCAGTGGGCCCTATGCATGAGTAGCAGGCTATACAGAATAAAGCAGGTCGTGTGTGTGTGTGTGTGTGTGTGGTTTATATATATATATATATATATATATATATATATATATATAATATATATATATATATATATATATATATATATATATATATATAATGTCGTGCCGAATGCAATTCGATTTACTCTAAATAGAAGCTCATCTTGCCATATAGGACAAGTGAAAATTTGTGTATGCAATAATTTCGCCAAAAATCATTCTGAACCTAACGAAAAAAATATATTTCACTGTGTTTGTTTAGTATTAAATTATTGTAAACAAATCTAAAATATATTAGTTGGGTTAGGCTAAAATAAATTATTCTTGTTATAATAAGGTAAGTAATTTTCTAATATTCTTTTGGTGCAAAATTAAAATTTTGACATTAACATAATGAAAAATATATATCTTTAAACGTATAAGAGAAAATTTTAGAAAGGACTTAATTTTAAATGAGTTCTTGCTAATTGACCAGTTTTACATATTCGGCATGACATTATATACATGGAACCTCAAATATCGAACTTTCTTCGGTCCAGAAGGCTGTTCGAGTGCCTTTACCGAATTAATTTATTCCCATCAGGAATAATGTAAATTAGATTAGTCCATTTCAGACCCTCAAAAATACACTTATAAAAGCACTTACAAAAATACACTTACATAATTGGTTGTGTTGGGAGCAGTTCGATTTTTGAGGTTCCACTGTATATATATATATGTCGTGCCGAATAAGTAAAACTGGTCAATTAGCAAGAACTCATTTAAAATTAAGTTGTTTCTAAAATTTTCTCTTATACGTTTAAAGATATATTTTTTTTCATTATGTTAATGTAAAAATTTTTAATTTTGCACCAAAAGAATCTTAGAAAACTTACCTAACCTTATTATAACAAGAACAATTTATTTTAGCCTAACCCAACTAAATATATTTTAGATTTGTTTACAATAATTTAATATTAAACAAACACAGTGAAATATATTTTTTCGTTAGGTTCAGAATGATTTTGGCGAAATTATTGCATACACAAATTTTCACTTGTCCTATATGGCAAGATGATGTTATTTGTCCTTGTCTCCTCCAAAAGGAATCACTGACCAAAATAGAATTGTCACAGGTTAAGAGATACAACACCTGGCTGTCAGGTGATACCCAGTATTGAGGGAACGCTAAACCCGTCGGAAATGGGAGATAATCAATTTCAGTCCTAGATAAGGAAGGGTAGGTCATTTTGTAATCAAACCTGATTCCCATTCCCTACAGAAGTTGACTTAATAGACCAGTATCCTAAGATGAACCAGCACTTGAGGTTTGTAGGCGCTCAGATGTACCATTATCAAGTTATCATTGATACGAGGGGTTGTTGCTGTAATTATCATTGATACGAGGGGTTGTTGCTGTAGTTATCATTGATACGAGGGGTTGTTGCTGTAGTTATCATTGATACGAGGGGTTGTTGCTGTAGTTATCATTGATACGAGGGGTTGTTGCTGTAATTATCAGAAAGCGTAGTGTACTAACCTGTGATCGTCGAAGAGGGTGTTGACACAGCAACACTGCAGGTGTTATCCAGCCTTTTGGCGACACAGCAACATGTTATCCAGCCTCTTGGCGACACAGTAACATGTTATCCATACTCTTGGCGACGCTCACAGCAGCACTGCAGGTGTTATCCAGCCTCTTGGCGACACAACAACACGTTATCCATCATCTTGGCGACGCTCACAGCAGCACTGCAGGTGTCATCCAGCCTCTTCATCCTGGGCAACTTTACACGAACTTAACACCATGAACAATTGACACAAGTTCACTGGTTAATCTTCTTGTTGTCGTAAAACCTTATAGTTCATTTTGTGTTACAAGAGAGCGTCATTGCGCAAGTCAGTGTTGCGTGTCATATTGGTGAATCAGAAACATAGTGCTAACAAATGTATTCACTGTGGCTGTCAGGCGTGTCAGCTGCTTTTATGGTGCTGACGGACGGGTCAGCTGCCTCTGTGGTTTAGATGGTGCTGTTAGACGTGTGTCAGCTGCCTTTGTGGTGGTGTTAGACATGTGTCAGCTTTTTCTGTGGTAGTGTTAGACGTGTCAGCTGCCTATGTGGTATTAGACGTGTCAACTGTCTGTGGTGTTAGACGTGTCATCTATCTTTGTAGTGGTGTTAGACGCGTGTCAGCTGTTTCTGTGGTGGTGTTAGACATGTGTCAGCTGCATCTTTGGTGGCGTTAGACGTGTCAGCTGCCTCTGTGGTGATGTTAGACGTGTCACCTGTCTCTGTGGTGGTATTAGACTCGTCAGCCGCTTCTGTGATGGTGTTAGACGTGTCAGCTGTTTCTGCGGTGGTGTTAGACGTGTCAGTTATTTCTGTTGTGTTAGACGTGTGTCAGCTGCCTCTGGTGGTGTAAGACGTGTGCCAGTTGTCTTTGTGTTGGTGTTAGACGTGTCAGTTGCTTCTTTGATTATGTTAGACGCGTCATCTGTCTCTGTGGTATTAGATGTGATTTAGCTGTCTCTGTGGTAGTGTTAGACGTGTGTCAGCTGTCCCTGTGGTAGTGTTAGACGTGTGTCAGCTGTCCCTGTGGTAGTGTTAGACGTGTGTCGGCTGCCTCTGTGGTTGTGTTAACAGCAATCTTTGTGATGGTATTAGACCTGTCAGCTGCTTCTGTGGTGGTGTTAGACGTATGTGAGCTGCCTCTGTGAAGGTGTCAGACGTGTCTAGTGCCTCTGTGGTGGTGTTAGACGCGTCTGCTGCCTCTGTGGTAGTTTTGTGCCAGGAAGACGAGAGGTCGACATTACAACGTTGTCACCTCCCCTGGTACCTGCAAGTAAGAAAATCCCTGTATTGCACAGGTTATATCCTTATCTTGACCAGAGTTATAACAGAGGTATCTGTATGCACCTCACTACTTATTAACCAGTATCACCACCACCACCGCTACCACAGCCACCATCACTGTCACCACTACCACCATCACTACCACCACTATCACAACCACCTTCACTGTCACCACCACCACCACCACTATCACAACCACCATCACTGTCACCACCACCACCATCACCACCACCACTATCACAACCACCATCACTGTCACCACCACCACTATCACAACCACCATCACTGTCACCACCACCACCACCTCCACCACCACCACCACCACTATCACAACCACCATCACTGTCACCACCACATCACCACCACCACCACCAAACCAACATATCTTAACTCATCACAGCTCCATAACCACTGTAGGACCACAACACCATAACCACCAAAGCACCATAACCATCACAACATAACCACCGCAGTACCATAACCATCACAACATATAACCACCACAGGCACCATAACCATCACAACCCATCACCACACAGTACCATAACCATCAACATAACCACCACAGCACCATAACCATCACAACACCATAACACCACAGTACCATAACCATCACAAATAACCACCACAGCACCATAACCATCACAACACCATAACCACAGCACCATAACCTATACAACTATAACCACAGCACCATAACCATCACAACACCATAACCATCACAACGCCATAACTTTCACAACATAACCACCACAGCACCATAACCACCGTCACAGTACAATAGCTACCATCACATCACTATAAACAAAATCACAGCACCGTAACAACCACAGCACAATAAGCATCACAGCACAATAACCATCACAATACCATAATCATCACAATACCATAATCATCACAGTGCCATAACCATCACAATACCATAATCATCACAGCACCATAATCATCACAATACCATAACACTCACAGTACCTTAATCATCACAGCACAATAATCATCACAATATAATCACAGCACCATAACAATCATAATACCATAATCACATCACCATAGCCATCACAGCATTAAAACTATCACAGCACCATAACCGTCACAGTAACATAACCTTCAAAGCACAGTAACCATCACATCACCATAACCATCACAGCACATCCATCACAGCACCATAACCATCACAACATAACCATCACAGCACATCCATCACAGCGCCATAACCACATCACCATAACCATCACAGCACCATAACCATCACATTACAACCATCACATCACAACCATCACATCACAACCATCACAACATAACCATCACATCACCATAACCAACGTGACAAGGTAAGGTTGGTCACGACCATAACATAAGATAAAGTAACCATTGCAGGTGAAATGTATACTACCATTGATTTGACGTGAAGAGGACACTCGAGCGAGCGAGACAATCTCTCTAGGGCGAGGAACGAGACACAGCCTCGCTGGGGCGAGAGTAGTCTAGCTGGGACGAGAAGCGAGACTGTTTCACTTGGACGAGGAGCAAAACAGTCTCTCTGGACGCGAGGAACGAGAGAGTCTCGCTGGGGCTAGGAGCGAGACCAGAGTAGTCTCGCTGGGTGGAGGAGCGACGCGAACCTGCCTCCCTGACGCTGTCTTCAGCTACACTGACTTGACTCTCTCTGGAAACGTTGCCTCTGTCGCAGCCTCACGATCAACACTGTGCAGCCGCAACGTTCGTGAGCGTGACAGCGTTCTTTCTCAAACTGCAGCTTTGCGAAGAACGATTGTCACGAACGTTCCGACTGCTGCAGGAACGTTACTGGAGGGTGTGGTTTGAAGGAACGTCACCGGTGGGTGTTGCTTGAAGGAACTTTACTGGTGGGTGTGGCTTGAAGGAACGTTACTGGTGGGTGTGGCTTGAAGGAACGTTATTGGTGGGTGTGGCTTGAAGGAACGTTATTGGTGGGTGTGGCTTGAAGGAACGTTATTGGTGGGTGTAGCTTGAAGGAACGTTACTGGTGGGCGGGTCTTGAAGGAACGTTACTGGTGGGTGGGTCTTGAAGGGACGTTACTGGTGGGTGTGGCTTGAAGGAACGTTACTGGTGGGTGTGGCATGAAGGAATATTACTGGTAGGTGTGGCTTGAAGGAACGTCACTGGTGGGTGTGGCTTGAAGGAACGTTACTAGTGGGTGTGGCTTGAAGGAACGTTACTGGTGGGTGTGATTTGAAGGCACAGCACTGGTGGGTGTGGCTTGAAGGAACATTACTGGTGGGTGTGGCTTGAAGGAACGTTACTGGCGGGTGTGGCTTGAAAGAACGTTACTGGTGGGCGTGGCTTAAAGGAACGTTACTGGTGGGTGTGGCTTGAAGGATCGTTACTGGTGGGTGTAGGTTGAAGGAACGTCACTGGTGGGTGTGGCTTGAAGGAACGTTACTGGTGGGTGTGGCTTGAAGGAACGTCACTGGTGGGTGTGGCTTGAAGGAACATCACTGGTGGGTGTGGCTTGAAGGAACGTCACTGGTGGGTGTGGCTTGAAGGAACATTACTGGTGGGTGTGGCTTGAAGGAACGTTACTGGTGAGTGTGGCTTGAAGGAACGTTACTGGTGGGTGTGGCTTGAATACTAATGAGAAACGTCCACAGGAATGAGTATCATGGGAGAGTAATTGAGCGTGGGTTCTGCGCTTTGTGGGAAATGTGGGCCCAGTGCTCTCTGAAGCTCCTAGTCCCAAAGTTTAAGGGCTGTTTAAGACCTGAACCTCATCTCCCAAGGACTGCTGAAGACCTGAACCTCAAGGTTCAGCGACTCTTGAAGACCCTAGCCGAATGGTTCAAGAACTCCTAAAGACCCGAGATGCAAGGTTCAACGTCTCCTGAAGGTCTTCATCTCTAGGTTCAACGACTTCTGAAAGCCTGTACCTCAAGGTTGAAGGACTTCTGAAGGCCTGTGCCTCAAGGTTCATCGACTTCTGAAGGCCTGTACCTCAAGGTTGAACGACTTCTGAAGGCCTGTGCCTCAAGGTTCATCGACTTCTGAAGGCCTGTACCTCAAGGTTCAAGGACTCCTGAAGACCCGAGATGCAAGGTTTAAGGGCTCCTGAAGACCCGAACCGCAAGGTTCAAGGATTCCTGAAGGCCCAAGATGCAAGGTTCAAGAACTTCTGAGGGCCCCGAGCCGCAAGGTTCAAGGGCTCGCGGAGCGCCTCTCCGGGGAGTTAAACTCAAGGGTTCAAAGGACCTTGAGAATGCCTTGTGGGAATGCCAACTAAAAATAATGAAGATTGAATTTTATTTTCTTGTGATCGCGGTTGACTGACGGGGGAGGGAAGTGGGGGGCGAATTAATGGGGGAGGGGAAGGGGAAGGGGAGAAAACCACAGAAAGAGAAAGGAGACGTAGGAAAAGAGAGTAGTATATAGAGGGAAAAGATCGTGAAAGTCTTAGCGATTTCGAGTGAAAATCTCTCTATATCTTCCCAGAAAGTGGAACTGACCTTCCCTTTCCTCGGATTAAGCCTTGTTGGCTTTTCCCTCATTCCCCATGACCCCATACTGGTTTTGCGCTTCCACATGAATATAGTAATAATAGCCTGAATAATAATAATAATAATCAGAAAAAAATAATCCAGTACTCATTCCACAATTTATTTAACGATATAGTCATTATTATTATTATTATTATTATTATTATTATTGCTGTATGACCCTTGTGGGTTTAACGCTTGGTTTTGATTGTAATCATATTACATTCGCAGGGGAAACACCAAACCCGTAGGGAGCATTTAGCACCTGGGGAATGAGAAGTAACATTGGTTGTTTGAAGTGGAGGAGAGCTCCGATTCCTTGGATCAGCATCCCTTCACCGGCATCTAGGCAGTACACACCTTGGAGCGAACGAGTGCCGGAGATGGAACCGGTGTCCTTTCAACCACAGGTCTGTGTTGCGGTTGTTGCAGTTGCAACACCTGTGTTTCACTCCACTATGGTAAAAATATTTTAGGTCAATCTGCAGATGATTTTTGCAAGCCATCGAAGGTTGGCTTTTGGTCCGTCTTGGTAAGCCGGGGCACCAGCTCTTTGAGGATATCTTGCAGCTTCCGCTCACCTACTGCTGTCTGCACATGGAGGGGAGAGAGAGGAAAAAATAGAAAAGAGAGAAAGAGAGAGAGGATGAAGTAAGTAAGTAAGTTTATTCAGGTATACACAAATACAGTTACATAGAATTATCATACATAGCAGCATATGTGTAGAGAACCTGGGATAACCCAAAAAAGTCAGACAGAGTGACTTATTTCCATTGGGGTCTTATTTCCATGAAATAATCACAGCGGCTTTAAAGCACACATTATTACTATCATTTATATATTCTGCCAGAAATGCACTTCATCTTAGTGGCTTTCTTGTGTGTTTAACAATATTTTATTAAATGTAAACGCTGTTGTATATTGCAGAAAATAAGTCAAGTGTATTGTTCATACAACATCGTAGGTTAAGTTAGCGTAAAGTGTAAATTACTGCTAATGAGAGAAAGGCAGATATTCTCCAAGTTGGTTCGTGATGTGCGAGTATATACGATGAGGTGTATGTTTCTGTGTATATATACTGTATACTCAGAGTTTTAATCCCTACTTTTAATATTAAATTATTGTTGACTGGTGGTAAACAGGTGACTTGCACCCTTAATGGCCCTCGTGTAGCCGATAGGCTTTAAACCCCGTTAACCAAGCAAGCTGGAGGGACGTTAGCAGTACACACGACTGATACCAGTATTGTAGCGGCGGTTAAATCCGTTAAACACCGTTTGAACTTGACAACTTAAATTTTAGGGTCAGTTTGTACGTTAAAAGCTTCTTGTTCTTTCGAAGCAAACACAGCGGGGGTCGAACCGGGGGCCTTTGTATGGTTGGTGAATATCGAAGTTCAACCTGCCCTCCAAAGTTATTTCCGTGCGTGCAAAAATGTACTAACCAAGCTTCGGTACTTCGCCCTGCGCTGCCGGACGTATGCCACTCCCTCTGCCATAATTTTCGTCGTTCTGAAAATAAAAGTAACTTTTATTTGGAGAATGAGTTGTAAACTCATTGTATCTATGAGTTGTGAACTTATTGTACCTATTTGCATCTATAGCTTTTGTAAAACCACAAATGCAAATAGGTACAAAAAAGTACGAAGGTGTTCGAAAAGACAAATTGTTCGGAATATTTTAGGCTTGTTGGATAATTTTTATGGAAGTATAATATATGTTAACTTAACAAAGTGTAACGTAATCTAAGCTCACATGACTTGACCTAACATAATGTAATCTAACCTAACATAGCTTAGCTTATCCTTCCTTATCCGATTATAAGAACGATATAGTTTGTATTGAAACTACATTCGTGGGTAAATGCACGCAGGGGACTTAGTGTGAAAGTTGTCTGTTCAAGTTGGCGGAAAGATTGTGGAGAGAGGAAGAGGAGGTAGAGGAGGGGAGGAAGAAGAGGAGGAGGAGCCTAAGACAGTAATGATATGCTTTAGATCAACCTGTGATTATTATACAGAGATTAAGTGAAGAATTAGTGTGGTGGCGTGGGAGACAGTGAAGCAGCAGGTGTTTGGTCACGTAGAAAGGATGGAGCAGGATTTATAAATTAGGCATGGATGGAATGAGTGTTTAGGGAACGTCCCGTTGAGGTTGGGATTGGGATGGGTTTATTGGTTGTCTTGAGCACCCTGAAGGGATGTGTGCGATCCGAGTTACTGGAGATTGGTGGATTTTCCAAGTGTGAGTAAGGCAACATTTATGAAAGAATTCAGGGGAAACCGGTTACCTGAACTTGAGTTCTGGAGAAGTACAGTGTCTGTACTCTGAAGGATGGATAAGGATGTTACAGGATGTGAGAAATACAGTGCCTGTACTCTGAAGGATGGATAAGGATGTTACAGGATGTGAGAAGTACAGTGCCTGTACTCTGAAGGATGGATAAGGATGTTACAGGATGTGAGAAGTACAGTGCCTGTACTCTGAAGGATGGATAAGGATGTTACAGGATGTGAGAAGTACAGTGCCTGTACTCTGAAGGATGGATAAGGATGTTACAGGATGTGAGAAGTACAGTGCCTGTACTCTGAAGGATGGATAAGGATGTTACAGGATGTGAGAAGTACAGTGCCTGTACTCTGAAGGATGGATAAGGATGTTACAGGATGTGAGAAGTACAGTGCCTGTACTCTGAAGGATGGATAAGGATGTTACAGGATGTGAGAAGTACAGTGCCTGTACTCTGAAGGATGGATAAGGATGTTACAGGATGTGAGAAGTACAGTGCCTGTACTCTGAAGGATGGATAAGGATGTTACAGGATGTGAGAAGTACAATGCCTGTACTCTGAAGGATGGATAAGGATGTTACAGGATGTGAGAAGTACAGTGCCTGTACTCTGAAGGATGGATAAGGATGTTACAGGATGTGAGAAGTACAGTGCCTGTACTCTGAAGGATGGATAAGGATGTTACAGGATGTGAGAAGTACAGTGCCTGTACTCTGAAGGATGGATAAGGATGTTACAGGATGTGAGAAGTACAGTGCCTGTACTCTGAAGGATGGATAAGGATGTTACAGGATGTGAGAAGTACAGTGCCTGTACTCTGAAGGATGGATAAGGATGTTACAG